GGAAAGAAGGGAAAAGAAAAAATATGAGAAAAGGAAAAAAATGGAAACAAAGTCTTTGCAAATAGGGAAGGGCAGAGGGGGTGAAGGGAGGGCAGGATAAGGGGAAAAAATAAGAACCAAGATACTCATGTAATGCTATAAGATCCCAACGATGTATGTAACTGTCTTTTATACCTAAAATGTACCAATAAACTAAATGGAAAAAAATCATTTGAAAAAAGATAATATAAACTCACTGTGTTTTGGACAAAACAACTTTAAAATGCTGCTGAGAGAAATATACAGATACAGAGCTAAGTTCATACACAAATCTGAGCTGGAGAAATGCCATCATTCCTTGGAATCCATGAGAATAAGCTGTCGTGGGTACTAGATCTAGGGGTGCTCAAGTCCCTTGTACAAAGCAGTGCAGCATTTGCATATGACCTATGCACAGCCTCTTGCACAGTTTAGATATCTCTGGATTGTTTATAACATCTAATACAATATAAATGCTGTACAATACTGTTTCCAAACTAAAGATAGGAAAAATTGTCTACACGGCTTGAGTTCTAATATTCTCTAGCCTCAGTTGGTTGGACCCATGGATGTGGGGCCTACAGATACTGGGGACTGACTGTGATTAGGAGCCAGAGGGGTGCATGGCACAGGAAAGCACAGCAAACTCAATCTCTCCCTCTCTCCTTCTGTCTCTCTCTCTCTTTAACCAAACATTAAAAAGATGGAAGTAGAGAAAAATGTGATTGTGGCTTCTTCAAAATCTACTATAGAAAATAAATTTATAACCAGATCTACAGAGTTTAGTCTGATATATTTGCCCAAGTTTAGAAATAATTCTCCCTCAGTAGTGTTAATTACCTTGGTCTTTATTATAGAGAGAGCTGACATCTGTATTTGTGTGTATAAAAAATAAAACATATAAAATACATATAAGACAACAAAAGAAGAAAAAATAAGCCCTGAAATTCCCACCTTTAAAAGGACAGAGTCTGTAAAAAGTGATATAGTAGTCTAGAAATATAGCTCAGGTTGAATAGATGCATAGATGATTTAGAAATAAATCCTACTAATAGTTCCCATTTTGAATTATCAAGCCAACTAAGGCTTCAAGAAAATTTAACCCAGCAATGGTACACTGAAGACTTCTTTTCTTATCTGAAAAGAAATCGGCTTCTTCGTCAAAAAGCAGATAAATTCAGAGTTTTCTCATTCATTCCCTACACTGTCTTAAAAGGGATCACCAACTTCCTTCAGCTTCTGAATGCATATCATTCTTTCTGATCATCCCCTCTGTATTAGTCAGCTTTCCTACTGCTGAACATGCCTGACGTTCACACCTGAAAGGAGGAGAGGTTTGATTTGCTCATGGTTTCAGTCCATGATTAGCTGGGCCCGAGGTAGAGACATCATGGTGGAATGGAACTACTCCGTTCATGGTGGGCAGGAAGCAGAGCATGGGAACAGCACCAGGAAGGGTACCAAGGCTGTGCCACCACAACCCACTCAGACACACCAAGGAGCATGTGCTGCCAGTCTGCTAGGTATTTCCTGCTCTAGTGGAGTTGACGTGTCAGGATTAATGGTTACATCTTCCATTATATTCATCTTAGCCAACAGGGGAATGGTTCAATCATTTGTGCCCTGGCTCAGGCCAGTGATGGTGACATTGTAAGAAGACAAATGGTGAACAAGACACACCCTGTAAGTAGTCCTTCTGGAAGAGGTGTGAAGCTGTTGCATTCATATACATGTGGCTTTCCAAGATAATAGGTATAAAATATATAGCAAAATAATGTACATACTGATCACTTAATTTCAGCTGCCTATTTTAAAAATCCTTAGTACTATCCTCTTTTTGCCAGGAGCCCACACTTCTATACTTGTCCAACCACTATATTGACTCCATTTTCCTGTACATTCTATATGGCAATGTTTTCTTCAGCTTATTTCTGCTTTCTATATCTTTAAACTATACCCTGTGGTGGTAGTAAAACTGTTAGATCTTCAAGTACAACATTAACAGAAATTTTATTTATTGTGCATTTACCATGGACTAGAAAGTTCAGTGCTCCATAAATATTGTGACACTTACCTTCACAATAACTCTGTAAGGAAGGTTCTCTTACTACCTGTCTACAGGGAAGGACAGAAGGGTGCGAGTTGACCGGTTAGTGTCAAGATCAAGAAGAAAACTCAGGCACTCTTACTATAGAACTTCCACTTTAACCACTACTTATAAAATAAGTGCTTCTCTTGAGTGCTAGAAAGTGTGGGATGGTCTACATAAAAGGGTCTTGTGATTAAATAACCTTAAAAACACAGAAATTCATAGCACTTTTTAGCTATAATAGCTCCCAGGCCCGATATCTATTTGTGAGACTATGGAGAAATGTTCAGAAATAGTCTCTTACCTGTGGCACTGAAAGATTTGGAGGTTCATGGCTGTCCCACATGACAAATTCAAAAGAATCTTCAAAAATTTCTCCACCAAAGTGACGATAGTAAATGATCCCATTAAGTAAGTCCCTCTGAAGGAAGCCAGGGACAGGATAGCCTATTGGGTCCACAAAATAACAACTTTTATGTTACATTGAACTGATCTCCAAAAACTTTCTGGATTAGTTCGCTGTATGTGCCCAAGGAATCTGCCTTAAATGTTTTAAGCAGAATATTTATAAATAATAAAGCAGAAAGATTAATATTGCTACTTACCCCTGTTTTAATAATGTAGAAAAATTAGAGGTAGAAAATATTTCCAAGAGACATCTTATTTTAAATATATGACATAACACTAACTACTTATTTGATTTCTATTTTGTCAGACTCTTGACCTACCTGCTTTAAGAAGTAGTCATGAAATTATTCTACCAAAAAGATAAAGAAGTGACAAGTGAAATTGCTTTGTCAGTCATCTAGAATAGGCCAAACCTCTCTCTTCAGACTTATTTGTTCTATCATCTTGTAGGTAAATTCAAGTTTTATTAAAGACTCAGCTCTAGAACTTTCTGGATGTACAGGCAGATTAACTTTACTTATCTGAATCTCAGGCTTCCTGTCTATAAAATGAGAAGATTAGTATCTTATTTTAGAAATGTGGTGTCTACCTTAGCACAAATCCTGGCACAATTTCAGCCAACTCACAGTTGCATAGAAAGTTCTTAATGGAAGAATCCATTCCATTCGAGCATCTGGAACTTACCTATCAGCCCTGGCCCTGGCTTCTTCATGATCTCTCCAGCCTTTGGGGGTCTTGTGATATTAAAGAAGATGTAGTCATCACTAGAGTCCATGTCTGAGGCTCTCAGCATGGACCCCTGGATCAGGATGGTCTGCCCCTCCTCCAGCTCAATCACAACATTGCTTATGAGGAACGGAGGGCTGTCATCTTTGGGCAAAATGTTGATAGGAAACTTGTGACGGATGCTGTGATATCCATCGAATATCCTGAAGACCACAAAGTCTTTGGTGGAGTCACTGTCATCATGGTGATAGCGAACAACTCCATCCTGAAGGTCTGACACAGTGAAGAGAAATCCTTTCCCCCCTGATGAAGAAAGCAGAGGTGGAGCAGCTTGAGGGAGGGAGTCCTCAGTCGGCAGCTGCAGGGAGGGCTAACACTGGAAGTGTACAACCCATGCTTCCTCCTGCAGAAACTACACAGGTACTCCCTGCCACAAAATGGGATTTGGGGCAGAAAAAGCCACCATCAGCTGAAAATATCACTACTCAAAAATGCATTTAATAGCCCTGACGAGCTCCTCATAAAATAAAAAAAATATAAACTGTCTGTAGATTGTTTAGTGGGCTCTGGGACATCACAGCTCTTTGAATACTGGCTCTACCACTTTCCTGTGCAGCCTGAGGCAATGTATTTATTAGAGACTCATCTGTAAAACTGGATAGTCATACTGCAATAGTTAAATTTATATGTCAACTTAACTGGCTTATTCCCCAGGGTCATAAATAAATAAATAAATAATAAAAACATTATTTTTGCATGGTTCTGAGGACAGCATTTGAATTAGTATGTGAATCAGCAGTCTGAGCAAAGAGAGTGTCCTCATCTACCTGTTGAGGGTCACAGAAGACAAAGATACAGAGAAAGGGTGGACTCTCTCTAGAGTAAGAGAATCTATCTTTCTCCTTAGACATCACAGTTCCTGATTCCCAGGATCATGAACTCCGCAACTCAAACCAGCCCCCCCAATCTCAGCCAGCCCCTTGCTCCTCAGACCTCTGGCCTAGAACTGGGATGGAACCCCAGCTGCCCTGTTCTCAGGCCTTGGTCTGGGATGGAATTACTCCACGAGTTTTTCTAGTTCTCCAACATATCATGAGACTTCTCAGTCTCTGTAATTTCATAAGCCAATTACAATAATAAATCCCCTCATATATATTTGTTTACATCCTGTTTGTTTTATTTATTTGACTAACACAAAGACCTATCTATATTCCATAGCAAAGAGGAAGGAACTTGAATAATAGCAAACCTATAAGAAATACTGATTATTCTCTAACTCATGGTTATCATCCCTCATGGCAAAGTTCTTAGGGGAGTGATCATGAATGGGCATCATCAACCCCCTCTGGGAAGCTGTTAGAAAGGAAAGTTGTCAGGCCCTGCCCAGACCAATTAAGTCAGAAATGTTCTTTCAGGAGGGTCTAATCCATGCTAATGTTTGAGAGTCACTGGCTTAAGGGCCAAGAGCTAGAGCTCTAAAATAAAACAGACTGGTTGGAATCCCAGTACTGCCACTTTCTAGGTGTATGACCTAGGCAAGTCAACTCCTCTAAGTCTCAGATTCCCTACTTGTAAAATGGGAATAGTAACAGTATCCTGCTCCATCAAGCTGAAATGAGAGAAATGATAGGCACAGTGTCACACAAAGTAAATGGTTGATTACTGTTAGTACTATTTTTTCGCCTCTCCTAATCCCAGAACAGCACTGCTTCATGGCTACCATTCCCAATTTCATTTCAGTAGTATTAATAAGCATTGCTTCGAGTTTTGTTCCGAATCTTACAGTTCTTGATGGCAGGGGTACCCTATTACTCTTCTCACACCACATAGCTCCATGAAGGACCTCAGAAGAATAAATGATTAAACATTTGTGTAAGAGGCACTGCTATTTTCTTCCTTTCTTTCTTTCTTTCTTTCTTTCTTTCTTTCTTTCTTCCTTCCTTCCTTCTTTCTTTCTTTCTTTTTTGGTACCAGGGATCGAACTCTGGTCCTTGCACTTGCGAGGCAGGCAGCAGAACCACAGAGCTAAATCCCCGGCCCATCGCTGCTATTTTCTAGTCCGATAGCTACTTCCACTTCTTCCTCACCAACAAAATACTGGTTTTATTTAGCATGGCAGTGTAACCAATTACAAAAACTCCAGTTCCCACTCTCCCATTGTGCCAAGGGGCTGTAAACAAGGTAAGGAGAGTAAATGGAAGTCATTGTACTGGGCTCCTGTTGCCATGAGAGCAAACTTAGCCAGTGTAACTTCTTACATTGTCCCATCTATCTCTTTTAGTCTTAAAGACATTAAAAGGTAACTTTAATTATGAAGCCACTAGAGTTGGATTGCTTTTGCATGCAACTGAATATCTACCCTAACTGGCAAACACCAGTTTAAACTGGCCTCCCACCATCCTGGAATTGAGCAGGAGAATTTATTGTGATTTCTCTTTCTAAAATTTTATAATTCCTTGTCAAAATGATGATACATGAAAGTTCTCTTTTCGCTTTACAGTTAGACAAACTAAGAGACTAACTGAATTCCTCTGTTATAAAGAACAGATTATTTTATCATGAAGTATGAATATTAGAATTTTTAGGATGATACCTTGGTAACTATCACCTATATAATTATAATTATAAATTCATTTCATTAAAACTTTGGCAACTAATAATAATAGCATCATAACATTATTATCACTGAAGTGTTAAAAAAAGTTTTTCTATTTTAAATATGTTCCCTGAAACCAAGAAACCAGAAGGAACTATTTTGTCTTTCAAGGAGAAAAGATAATCAGTTAAGAAGCATATCTAGAAGAAACCCTACATGGCATCCAGAAAGCAAAACTGTGCCAAGTACGAGACACTGTTCACAAATGATTATGCATCAACTTGAGCATCCATCCTTCACAAAACCAGACAATTTCAAGATCTCTAAATTTTCTGCATATGACAATTGCATTTGGAAATTAGACCCAAGAGATGCTATACATATCCTGCTGAATATGCTTTGGTCTTGAAGAAAATCCTTGTTGGGTTCTTTTTTAGGTTGCACAGGTAGATCATTCACCTCTCACTGTAAGCCATCCGTGCTGCAGGCCACCAACAGTGACCAACTGGACAGTACCAATGTTATCATTGTCAACAATCTGGAACTGTTCCCATGTGATAGCCCGAGACTGCCCCTCCAGGAGATTCAGACCTACATGAGCAAGCAGAAAAGTGTCATGCAAAGTTATACCCATCCAACATATCTTGAGGAAAAGATTAATAAATTTTCATTCATGAAACTATCTGAAAGTTATTTCTCAAATGCTTTTCAAGAAACTTGAATGTAGCTTGTGTTTTTAGTAATAATTTTATTTTTAGTACTATTGCTTCTAATCTGACAACTTGAGAGCTACAGTACATCTTTTTTTTTCCCAGTAAGTTTATTGGTACATTTTAGGTATACGATAGAGTTACATTCATCATTGGGATCTTGTACCTTTACATGACTTATCTCTGTTCTTAATTTTTTCCCATTCCCCTGCCCTCCCTTCAACCCCTCCACCCTTCCCTATTTACAAATAATTTGTTTCCATTTTTTCCTTTTCTTATATTTTTTCTTTTCCCTTCTTTCCTTTCCCCTACTCCTCCCACTTCCCATACTCCTTTAGAACTTTTCTTCCTATTGCACAATATCAATTATAAATTTTGATCCTTATTTACACTTTTAGTTTTTCACACCAGAGAAATCATTCAGTATTTACACATATGTGTCCTATTTATTTCACTTAAGAGTATGTGCATCCACTTAGCTATAAAGGTCTCTAGTTTCTTGTTTTTATGGCTGAGCAGTACTCCATTTTATTAAAAAACCACATCTTCTTTATCCAGTCTCCAGTTGATGGGCAATTGGGCTGTTTCCAAGTTTTAGCTATTACAAACTGTGCTGCTATAAACATGGGTGAGCATTTATCACTGTGGTATGATTCTTTCAATTCTTTTGGGAAGATACCCAGCAGAAGAATAGTTGGGTCAAATGGGATTTCTAATCCTAGTTGTTTGAGGTATCTCAAACAGTGGTTGCACCAGTCTTTAAAAAGCAAATTAGGGCCAGAGATTTAGCTCAGTGGTTCCACCACCTTCCTCAAAAGTGCAAGGTCCAGAGTTCGATCCCTGGTACCAAAAAAAAGAGAAAATTAAACACTGAAGGAAAGAACAGATGTTGTGTCCACAGTGGTCTCTGCTTCAAAAATGTCCACAGGGAGTTTTTCAGAGAATATATCCAGATATTTTAAGTGGACAAGAGTCATGAAGTACTTTTTACATGTAATTTATGAAAGTATACATACCCCACAGGACAGATCATGTAATTTGGTTCAACATATTTAGACAGAGCTACCATTCTCAGGATGTTTAACACTGTTAAATGTACTTAGTGTAGACTCCAATAAGAAACTAAAGTCTGTAACTAATGGTCTAAAATACAACCTTGTGCTTGAAATCTACATGCCAGAGGTATGGAGAATTTGCTTGCTTGTCATAGCAAGAATATGGACTGGATTGGATGATTAGGGTTGAGACAGTGAGCTGCAGCATCATCACCAACAGAGCTGGGAACTGACAAATTGTTCACCTTTCCCCACCCGACCCCCATCTCCTCCCAGACACAATGGCTCCATCTGCACCCTGAAAACATCAGTACTACAGAATGATACACTTCATTTGACTGAAAAGTTGTGACCAGCTTAGCCATCCCACCTGCTGTAGCTTGATCTTGAATGTCCTCAAGCCTCCATAAGTTAATGGTTTGATTCCTGGGGTACACTGTTGGGAAGTGTTGGAACCTTTAAGAGCTGGAGCCCAGAGGGAGGTCCTTATGTCATTGGAGGTGTGACCCTGAAGGAGACGGTGGGACTCTGATCTCTTCTTCTTCATCTCTTTTTTTTCCTGCCCATGAGGTGAGCAACTTTGCTTGGCCATCATACTCCCACCATGATATGCTGTTCTACCTCAGGCCCAAAACAAAGGGGCCAACCAATTATGGACTGAACCTCCAAAACTGTGAGTTAAAATAATCCTTTCTCCCTATAAATTGATTATCTCAGGTGTTTGTTGTAGTGATGGGAAGTGAACTACATAGTACCTTTTCATTTGCTCCTTCCTGTACTCTTTTCAGTATAGGGTTAGTACATATGATCTTCCTCACAGTTTGTTTCAGGGAAACTAGGTTAAGACTTTCAATAAGTGAATGAAAGAAAGTTGAAAGCTGTTCTTTTGGCTTATCTCCTACCAAGGAAATAAAGTGACCTCAGAACACAATGATGCTGAATTTAAATTTCTTAGCTTGCCCACTAGGAAAAAACAAAATAAAAACAAGCAGAAAAGATCTATCTGATGTCCTTAATCTATGTGTTTCAATTACCTCATTCATAAAATGGGAATAAAATTACCATTCCTTCCTGATCCACCCTCTTTCTTACACTCCCTGCAGGTCCCTGTGGCTTGATGCTTCCTACTGAGCCTCACCTGTATTCCAGGACACTCGTGGGGCATTGGTATCTGCTGTTCTGATGGAGATGTGGACCATGATGGGTGCGCTTCTCTCAAAGAAAAAGTCATATACCTCTAGCTCCACCTGGAAGTAAACAGATGAGTGTGAGCCACACACTGACGAGTTGAAGTGCCATTTATTCTCATTTCATACACATAGTTGGATGCAAAAATGGATTCAGGTTTCTACTGTTTCCAGGTCTTCCTCTTTTTTAATTATAAATTCATTTCTATTTTTAAATAAATTTATTTTTATAACAAATTGAGACAAATTTTACATATTATATAAATTACTCATTTTAAGTGCACATTTCTATGATTTTTACCAAGTTGTATAAATTTCACATAAGTAAGTTTAAGTCATTTCCATTGTATCCATAAAATCCTCAAGCTCATTACTGTTAATTCTCCTCACCACCCACTCTACCCAGATACCAATCATCTGCTTTCAATCTCTGTATATTTGCCTTTTCCGGCAATTTCATTTACGTAAATCTTTATTCTGTGTCCAATTTTGCTAAGATATTTGTGTTAAAGTTTGGGGTTTTTTTCCTGTAAGAAGTGAATCTTTTTTGGATAGGTAAATTATTTTATTCTTAAGCGTTGTACTTGATTTTTAAATAATTGACCCATAATTGCACATATTTGTAGGCCCCAGCATGGTATTTCAATTTGTGCGTATAATATGTGATGACCAGATCAGGATAACTAATATATACATCCCCTCAAACATTTATCACTTCCCTGTTTGAAACAGGCAAAATCCTCTCCACTAGCTATTTTGAGATATACAATTAAATGTTGTAACCACACTCACTTTATTACACCACAGAACATCCCTTTATCCACCTGGCCTCTGCACTCACCAGCCACCCTCTCCGTCCTCCCTGACCTCCCCTTTCCCAATCTCTGGTAATCACTATCCTACGTTCTGTGTGTATTTCTAACAACCTGCTTTCACTTTTTCAGGCTCTAGACTCTGTTCCTTAGCTCAGTGCTTTTAATTTTCTTCTCCACAAAAAAAATTTATTACTCTGAACTTGGCACATATGGTGGAGTAGTGTCCCCTCATCAGCTAGGATTGTCTTACTGAAATATTAGTCCACTCCACTCCCTCTTTAAGGGAGTGGCTCTCAAGAGCAAGTCTGAGGGGATATCTGGGACTGTTAGAGACATTTTTGGTTTCACAAAATGTCTGTTGGCGGTGAGTGGGCAGAGGTCAGGGATGCCAACAGCCAGCCACTCAGAGGACAGCTCCCCATACAAAGTATTACATGACCCAGAATGCCAATGGTGCCAAATTTAAGACACTCTCACTTAAAGATATATTTTCAAATATCTAGAATATTTTTGCTGTCATGAAATCTACAACTAATAAGTTGAGGATATATGATAAGATCTGATCTTTACTACATGTTATGTATATATTGCACCAGATATTGACAGAGGAAGATGAGATATAATACATAAATACAAGGCACACTTCCTACTTTTGAAGAATTTGGAGTCCACTTGAAAGAATAAGAGAAATAAGCAGACAGCCACGTATCCATAAATATTAAATAAGGAAAGAAACAGCCAAAGTAACAAACTAAAAGCGAGACTAATGGAGGCAGCATATGCTCTTTGGGAGTTGTAATGTGAAATATACATTGGGTTGGGCCATAGGCCCGGGTCATTCCACCCATGTGCCTGAGAAGCACATAATCTCCACTGAGAATATTAACAGTTACCTTCTAACAACAACAACCAAAAAAATCACACATTTGGAGAGGCTCTTCTTTAAAATTACATTATACAATCCAAGAAAAATGCTCCCAGAAAACAGTCAAAAATAGCAGTGTTTAATCAGGAGCTCAAGGTAACACTGGTCCTATAATGAGAAATTCCCTCATAATAGGGAAAGAGAAATGACAGAAGGAAAGAAAAAACCGCTGCCATATATGTACTATTACAAAGAGAAAAAACAAAAGCAAAAGGCGAAGCATAACATTTCTAGTCAGAAGTCTTCTGACTGCCCTTGAGGGTAAATGCTGAAAATGCCTAAATTACAGAGGACAGTTTGGTAACCCCAGGGACACTCATGCTCCTTAATAAACCTGAACTCTAGACTGTATCAATCTGCTCGTTACAATTTTCCATCCTGTTTGAATCAACTTGCTGGTGGGTCTTTAAAGATGGGAAGTGTTATTATGTGCAAGCCTGCAACCAGCTGTTCTCCACTAACACTGAATGCAAAACAAGAGGAAAGAGGCTGAACCTATGACAAAACAGATTTAGACCAAATAGGAGAACTTCCTACATGGAAAGTTTGACAGTGAAATTTGTTATTAGATAAGACCATGGAATCTCTTGCCCAATTTAGTGTTATTAATTAAAAATTAAGCGCCCCTCCTAAAAAGCTCTTGCAAACAAAAAATGTATTAATAAGAAACCATGAACAAATTCATCTCTCACATCAGCAGTCTATGTAACTCAAGAAGGTTACTGAAGGACACCAGAGCTCCCAAACTACAAAGCCTGGGCTAAGGGTGGCCCTTCAAAATATTTAGTAGTTGGCACAATATATTTTATAATTTTAAATTACTTTTTCATATTTAAAAATTGAAAAACAAGTTTACAATAAAGGGTTTCCAAATGACAAATGACAGCCAAAGCAGCCTGGGTCCATGTGAGTTCCTGTGTGGCAGCAAGGAGTTGGAGTTGAATGGCAGCTGCGAGCTGATGCTCTGGCTCCTTCAGTGGCCACACCCCCTCGTCCTCTGTGCAAGTTTGCTGATTTGTATCACCTGCCTGGCTCTCCTGGCATTTAGTTTGCATTCTGATTTACGGTGATTCTTTTCTGAAGCAACAAACATACAAAGGAATCTGAGGCTGAGGGTTAATAAGTGGCCTCTTAAGTAACTCTGTGAGCACCAACTAGGCTGGATCCTTTGCCTCTCTTCTTTCTTACCTCGTAATGTCTCCTCTCCGAATGGCTGTTGTTTGGTGGCTGATAAGCAATCTGCATGTCACTGAGATCTCTCCAGGTAAATGAGGAGACAGGTCGGGTGTGATCGAAAAGGTGAGTGACATAGCCCTGAAGTGGAGTTTTTGTGATGTTGAACACCAACAAGGGTTTAGGGGTCTCATCCTCTTCACAGTCCAGAACAGATGTAGTCAGAGAGGTCAGGATGAACTGATCCACTTCCAGAATGAACACGGACATGAATGCAGCCCTTGGAATCTGGTTTGGAAAGCCACCTCTGATGTAGACAGGCAACCACACACTTTCTGACTTTTGAAGGAGAAATAAAATATAAAGGAAGAGATAATACAAATGAAGCCATAATATACAGGGTTAATGGCATGAAGTGTGATAAAGCTACAGCCTAGCATGTATTCAGCTGTGATCTGAAGCCTGACTGCACATTAGAATCACCTAGGGAGCATTAAATATATACTGATAATCAGAACCCCTCTCCAGAGGTCTAACTGCTCAAATGAGGGAATAAGAAGAGTGGTATTTTTAGAACTCCCCAGAGACTCCAATATGTAAGAAGGAAGCACCTATTTTGATATCAAAAAGAACTGTGCTTGTGATCCTGCCTCCAGCACTTGTAATTTGTGTGAATGTAGACAAGTTATCTAACTCCTAAGTTTCATTTTCTTCACATCTATAAATGGAAATTCCATACTCCCAAGCATTAAGTAAAAACTAAATGAAAGCCAAAACAAAGCAGTGTCTGGCACAAGCCACAACCTCCCCTGGTCATCCTGCCCATCTCTTGCTATGTGGCTTTAAAGGATGAAGGGAAAAAATGTCTTTATAACTCTGCTCATGCAACTGAAAGAGGGTTAGTCAGCTGTCTAGTAGAGCAAGGGCATTGCAAGTGAACCCTCAAGCTACAGATGCATCCTCCCAAAATAAGATAGCTATGAGTAAAAAAACCTCCCAAAGAAACCATGCAATGGCTTCATGGAACCTGAGGGCTCAGTAAGTGCTGTGGGTGGGAAAAATCCCCATGACAAAGTGTCCCTCTGTTGAGAGAACCTGGCTCAGTTATCAAAGCCACATTCATTTCATACTGCTGAACACTAGAAACTAGACTAGGTCTGATCATCTGTATGTTCCAGAATGGTAAGAATGGAATTCTTCTTGGCTCAGTCTCAATGGAATTCCAAGAGGAGACAGGAGACTTCAAAATGAACGTGCACAGATGCTGTGTTTAAAATTTACACAGCAGACTCCCTGCCGAGGTCCCAAGTGGCGCGGAAGACGCTGAATCACCCCGCTGCAGACAGGCAGGTCTGCCCACGCCCTACCGAGGTCCCCAGTCATGCAGAACATGACCAATCATCCCCCTGCAGACAGGCAGGTCTGTGCACGCTCTACCAAGGTCCCAGGTCGCGTGGAAGATGCCAAATCACCCCACTGCAGACAGGCAGCCACCTGGTTCCACATTACAAAGACGCAGAGGACACCAGACCACCAGACCAAGGTACTGAGTCCTGCTGCTCCCGGCCCAGAAGTAGGGGCTTCTGAGTCGCCGTCCCACTGCTCCTGGTCCAGAGGAAGGGGTTTCCCAGTCACCATCCCTCCCGCTGCTCCCAGCCCAGAGGAAAGGGCTTTTGGACCACCTTCTCTCCCGCTGCTCCTGGCCCAGAGGAAGGGGCTTCCAGGCCACCATCCCTCCCACCACTCCCGGCCCAGAGGTAGGGGCTTCTGAGCCAACATCCCACTGCTCCTGGTCCAGAGGAAGGGGCTTCCCAGACACCATCCCTCCCACTGCTCCCAGCCCACAGGAAAAGGCTTTTGGGTCACCATCCCTACCACAGCTCCTGGCCCATGTCCAACCTCTCCCAGCTCAGAGGAAGTAATCCGTGCAGGCGTTAACAGCCCCCCCCCACCCCGTCGAAATGAGAAAACATGTAAATAAGTCTCAAAACCAGACTTCCAGATCACCTACAGCAACCCCAAAGGGAAATGAGATGGAAC